AGCGTCAGGAGTTTGTCACCAGATGGTGTTTTTTGGACCACTTTGAGGGCCTAGATGAGGGTGATGGCACAGGCTAGAGGGCGGCAGACAAAAATTTTCCGTTTCAGTGCATGCAAGGCTATCGATTTAGGGGGTCAAAACATGTATCCCGAGTTTGTCACTCAAAGTCGTCTGGCTCTCGGACTATAAGACACCCTGGTTGCTTTTCTTACAAAATTATTCTAGGTTGGAGTTCACAATACTTTCCCAATTTCTTAAATTTTGTCTGCATTTTCCGGAAGATAAAAAATATCAAAATAAGTAAAGTATTTAAACCACTTAGGGAGACAAGCCTGGAATTTTCATCTGTCATTACCGTAAAATACAAAATTCCCTAGATTATTGAAATTTTTCTCACAAATCATAGTGTTTTCTGTAGTTTCATTGTGGTTATTCCTGTACATTTGTAACCCTTCACACCTTGAGTTCACTGAAATGAAGTAGCGTATATTATTTAGAACAGTAGAATTCAATTTTTTTATTTCTCTTTCATACTGCAGAGGCTCTAATCTACATTCCCCCTTGATGACCATTCAATTATTATGTGTATGGCTTATTCTCCAATATTTTTCTGTGTTAGATTGTTCTTAGAAGAAATAATTTTTGCTCCTGATTTATTTTATGTTTTGGTGTTTGTTGTTTAGTATTTTGATTTTTCTTTCTTTTTCACATCATAGACTCCTTTGTTAAATTCACTGTCTCCTCCTGTAACGTTTGACATGAGAATTGGATAACTCTAAAAATAATTTGACATTGCAGATTACATATTAATTCTAGAGAAGCAATAAAATACCTTGGATCAAGGGTTGATCTTTGCTTTGCAGGTCCATCATACATGAGACGGGTGGAATCAGTTTTTTTGTCATCAGGTAGAACAGAACCATCCATGTCAAGGCATAATTTGTAAAATTAACAGATGATGCGAGGGCGCAAACCTGAGCCCAATACTTCACGGCAACTATGACCCATCTTATTTTGAAATTCATATTTAGGTACTTACTAAAGCAAAGAAAAAAAAGGAAAAAAATCTCAAACATGGTAAAAGAATAATCTCAAAGAAAACTTATTAGATTATACAACTTGAACTCCCAAAAATCCATGGTTGATCCAAAACTTTTAGACAGTGAAGACTGAAAAGCCATTCCTTTTTTATTTGCTTGGGTTTTGGATTTTTCTTGATATGTTAACAAATACAAGGCATCTGATTTCTGAGAGAAAATTCTTATGGAATCCAAAAATCACTATTAGCAAGAAAATCACTATTAGCAAGAGAATGAGTTGGTATTTGATGGGTGCTTTGACCTAATTTCATTTTAGTTTTCTCCTCAGAAAGGAAGATTGAATTGGGTGATTGTGATGCAATCTATAAACACTGATGTCTCATTTACACATTGATTTTGGAGATTTTCAACAATTTTTGCATCAAATTTTGATGGAAGCAGATGTTTTGTGACACTTGAATTCTTACTCTGCCCAGTGGTCTATATAAAGCTGTCTGTTATAAAGAAGAGCTTTTCAGTTATCAAGATTTTAGACAGTATGACTATGAGTTAGCAAAGGTCTAGAATGTTCTTTAAGTTAAAAATTAGTAGCAGTATCAGCCTCAAAATGTTCTTATTTTACAGAAATGTTAGAATAAGAGCAAAAATATTAAAAAATTAGCAATATTTTTTCTCATTCCTTGCTAAGAATATTGAGGAAGGAAAACCTTTTCCATCGAAAAATTCCCTTACGAACTCACAGATATCCTCACGCCATCCGCGAGCTGAGGCTTGTGAGCTTTAGCATTTTCTGTACCCCTGCCCGCTACTTCTTAAACAGTAAAGAGTAAATACATACCATATAAGTTTTGTATTTTCAACACAAAGACCATTCTTGAATGATAAGTCGCAATGAGAATCTGTTGGTACATGGGTAATCTTCAGGATAGGCACACGAGCAGTTGGAATTGCTTTAATGTCGGTAAACTCTTGATTATTCCTCAGAATTTTCTTAATTTTAAAAATGTGCTTACAAGTTTCCTTTTTAGAATTTATTTCGTCATAGTATCCATCAGAGCCCCAGTACATCTGCCCAGCTGTTAACAACAAAAAACAGGAAGATTTTCTTATATAGTCTCATTATAGTTGGTGGTTTGATCATGCTACAAAAATGGACATTAGGCTGAATTTAGATGCAAATGAGCTAAAATGGCGAAATTTCTAGGTGACGGCAAAATATACAGCTGAGCAATTCTTTCAACTGAGCCCCTTCTCTAGCTGGATGTCAAATTTAGATTCAAACAAATTTTTTAGACCTTTTAGTTGGGCTTGTCATTTTTAAACCTTCCATGATACATGTAAAAATTTCAAAGGTATACGATATCTACATCAAGCACACTGCATCACTGTTGCACTGAGTACGTTCCATGGTAAAGATACTTATAGCATACTGGTTGATTCTTCATGGCTGTTACACAACATAACCCATCAAGGGAGCTATGCGCTCTAAACGGTGTGCTTCATGATAATGAAAAGTCTGGATAAGAAAATAACTTTCCGATACATGAAAATCTTGGAAATTAGCTGAGGAGATCTCTACGGAAGACTCAGGCATGAAATGAAAATTTGTGAAGTCACAGAGTTTATGGGATTGTAAGGAATATACTAACTTCAAAAGAAGTCAGTAGCATGCCACTTACTTAGATCCACAAAAAAATCAAAATCGCTGTTCACAGAGGCAAGGCCCGATACTCGAGATCCAAAGTCAAAAACCGCACAATTGGTATACTCCGTTTTGATGGCTTTTTTTATGCTTGTTACGAGCGCCATTCGCCTGGACTTGGCTGTTGAAGAGTTCAACTCGGCTACCATTGAATTGACAGACAAGGTAATCATTTCCATGAATTTTCGCTTATCACTCATTAAAGCACTACATTCGCCCCTGAAATGTCCAGAGGATCCACCGAGTAGATCTGTCCAAAAAAAAAGCGAAGATTAAAATTAATGTGTGGCTGCTGATGGAGAAAGAGACTGGAAATCTGAGGCAAAGTCTTAGCTATGCACCTGTACACTTCTCCAGGCGATGGTAGCCAATGGTGGTAGTAGCAACGATGTTTAAAAAAACTTTTAAAAAACCCTTAAATTTCAAAAAGATAACTCTTAAAAAAATGTCAAAATGTTTGCACATATTAGGAAACTCTTTTTGGCTATTTTTGAAGTAAAATTTAAGAAAAAATGTTTAAAAAACTCTTAAAATATCAACTGTAGTATTGCAACACTAAAAATGTTTAAGAAAAATGTTAAAAAACTACAGTGATATTTTAAGAGTTTTTTAAAACATTTTTTCCCTTAAAAAACCCCGCACAGAGCATGGGGTCAGCAGCTCTCTATGAAAGTTGATGAAACTTTAATAGATTGATATAAAGTTCATAATTAAGGGAAAGCCAAAAAAATTAGCTCACTTTTGCGAGTAGAAGCCGAGATATTCGCAATTGAATCCGGACTATTTTCTATCATGCCGCAGAATGGCGGAATAATTCCGAGTCCCCTCTTCTCTCGTTGTTCGGCATTCTTGATCAGACCTTACATCACTCACGTGAAGATAGGTGCTTCTGCGCTCGGCTGGTGCGAATGCCGAGCTCCCTTCCTCTCCCCGCATCTGTCAATTCTGTTTCAGCAACTACATTTCAGATTAAACCGGCCGGCGGTGCCGGCATGAGAGAGGTGCGAAAAGCAGGGAACTCCATATCACACAGCCCGAACGGAGCGTCCTAATGAAAGGAGTGAGTGTAAACAATGCGACATCGTAGTTACCTGGTGGGGAGAGGGGGTTTCCTGGCCGAAGTGCTCAAGCAAGGTAAGGCAACACGGAGAATTTACCTTCGCCAAACAGAAAATAGTCCGGGTTCAACCGCGAATATCTCTGCTTCTACTCGCAAAAGTGAGCTAATTTTTTGGCTTTCTTTTAATTATAAACTTTATATCAATCTATTAAAGTTTCATCGACTTTCATAGAGAGCCGCTGACCCCATGCTCTGTGCAGGGTTCTTTTACTTCTTGTAAATTTGACTTAAAAAAATAGCCAAAAATAGTTTCCTAATACGAACATTTTAACAGATTTTTAAGAGTTTTTGAAAAAGGTTTTAAAAGGTCATTGCTTCAAGAGAAATCTTAATTCTGAATTTTTCTGCACTACTAAGAGTCCCTTTTTCTGTAGACGCATAAATTAATAACGGTAACGCATAATTAAAACGGTTATCTGAGCATAAATTCAATTAATGTTGCAGCAATAGTACTTGGTGACCTGCATGGTAGGTGGCAGAGTTTGGCTCTTGATACCAGCCTCCGTCTGAAGTTAAAATTTATCAATTATCAATGCGCTCATTAATTTTGAGATATGATAAAATTACAACAAAGGGATAAGAGATGGCTGAGATAATCCAAACTTCCATGCAAGCCAGTTGTGAGAGGCTACTCATTTCTGCGACAGAATCTATGATTTTGTACAAGAAAATTAGGATTTGTAGAAGGGAGAAAAAATAACAAGTTTGATTATCTTCACACTACAGAGAAAAGAGGAGGGAAAATATTTTCCATGCAAGTACGATAGAGCAATCAGAGAGATAAAAAAAAACTTGAGACCTGAGACTAAAGGAGCAAGCAGTACCGTTGAGGAGTTTTTGAAATAACTATACATACTTGGCAATAACTTGAGTTTTGAGAGGATTACATCTAAAAAGTTAGAATTCTTTCGACTCAGAGGAAACGATTCCATAATATCTATTAGCTTTCTGCTTAAGTAAAAAAATGACAGAGAGGATTAACCCCTGATAAAAATGTTTCGTCGGACATAAGAGGACAACAACCATGGAAGTGCCTGTAATTTTACTGACCTATTTTAATGAGCTTCATCCCTGGCTTTTCACCAACATTAACAGCTTTATTGTGTGCGTTAAGTAATTTATGCATACTATCGCTAAAAAGGAGAAAAAAACTAAAATTAGAAAAAATTAAGTTTCAAGTAAAGATGCAGAAAATAGCTCTAAGGATTTCTTCAAAAAAGCAGAGAAAATTTGGCATGCTTTAAACTGTTTTTAACATATTCGGGCAGAATGTTGAATTTTTTGATATTTCTTCTTATTCACGGTCACTTTTTTAAAACTTTCAAAGTAGAAAACTAAAGGATTCTTTCTTTGGGAATCGCAAAAATTCGAGAATTCAAAATTCTTTCCGTCCCGTAGTCAATTAAGAGAACTAAAGCCTTACTTGGGAGACAGTTTGAGAAAACAACAAAGAAACTTAAAATACTTTTAAGAAACTTCAACCATCAATATTTAGTAAATTATGACAAGAATTTTTTTGAAGGAGATTCTATTAATAAGATCTAAATTCATAATGTCTGTTCGTTTCAGTTTCTTGCCGATATCTGCTGATCAGTTGGCTTACCCTCACATCTTCTTTAAGCAAATCACAATGAAGGACAACCATATACATACAAAGAGGCCACACAGAGCCATATGTATGGCTGACGAAAAAATACCTGTTTTCAAATTGAATAAAAGCCGCAGGCGATGATGCATCTGTGAGGCACTGTTTCACTTTCCCCGCATTAGACAGTATTGGAGTCAAGGTCTCGAACAATTTCAGCGTGTCTGCCTCACCTGCAATTAATAAAAACATAACTGAAAAACAGTTGAGTGATAGAACAATCTAATTGAAGGTGCAGAGGTTGGTATAAGTGCCATGTTTTCCTCCAGAGAGAGATTTTATCTGAAACTAGTGAGCTGAAACTTTTTACTTGAAAAAACCAGAGCTCTAGAGAGCTGATTTTTTAGACTTACGATAGCATGAAAAGCCATCAAAAGTTGATACATTACATACTACATGCATAGGACTATGTTTTACCTTACCTTGCGGCCATAGCAAGAGACTTAGTCAGCAATCAACTCACAGGCACTGCCATTAAAATAGATAAGAAATATGAGGGTGATTTTCAACAAGAATTTCAAGAAAAAGAGCAGAAGAACCAATTTCCAAGGCTTAACTCAGAATCTACAAGTATGTTTCCAAGTATTTTAGAAATCCGATTATATTTTGGGGTGTGGAAACGGTTTCACTAGCAGAATTTTTGAAGTAAAAGGAAATGAAACTCTCCGAAGAATAAGAGTTTTCCAGGGGGGGGGGGGTCCTTGAAAATGGAGACGTTAGATATGAAAAATCCAACTTTGGTAAGAAAAAGTTTTGAGAAACTTAAAATTTAAAAGTTCAGGATGCATAAAGTATAACAAAATGGACTTAGGTCATGAATACGAATGGTTCATCTGACAGTTGGCCTTTTCCAGACCCTGGAAAACTTTTGAACATGGGGAAAGGTGAGCATTTAACTGAGCATTTAAACGTTAGAGATTACTTACCCACACATTTTATCCAATTGCTGTCATCAAATGTGTTTTGCTCCATCTTTAAAGGAAAAACCAAAATATTGGCCAGAGGAGTGCTAGGACTAACTGCTTCAGGATTGCTTCTTAAGTGATTTAGCACAGCTTTGCCAGAATTCCCTTCATCATCTGAGCAACTTTCTTCGGTACTACCATAAGGTACCAAAAAATGTTTTGAATTAGTAGTTGCTCGCGAAAAGCACTTATTAATATCAGAAGCTACACCAGTGTCATTTCCCAATGTATTAGTTTTATCTACTTTTAGCTGCAAGCGAGATTGATCTCTCTTCCTCTGGGATCTTAATTTCTTTTTTCTATCAACCTGATGCGACTTTCTTTCAAGAGAAGATTTCTCCCTATTAGACAATTCTTTTTCTTTGTTAAACCCTCTGTGTTTTTTAAAGTCAGTTTCATTTTCAAACCCTAGAACATTCTGATGTTCATTATCAGGCAGGTTATTGTCAATCTTGAAGGGTACTTTCTTTTTTTGAGAAAGATTATGCACAAAACTGCTATCTCTACTTGATCTCTCAGCAGATTCTGAGTTTAGGGGCACTGTTATGAAGACTTCTGATTTTGATACATTTAAATTATTCAAATTAACTGAGCTTATGTCTTCCTTATTGCTAACACTGACACTATCAGTTCGGACTGTTTCTGAACATGTTTTTGTTCCTGAATTTTCTAGATTGTCAGTACATTGGTTATTACTTGAAGAGGATTCTGGATTATCTGAAGGCTGTGAACCGTTCTGTTCTGGGTGAGAGGATGATCTCTGTTCACTTTCATCAGCTGAGTCTTCTGAGCTGCTGGATGCAACGTCCGACCATGTTTCGGACACGTCTTGCCGACTGTGCACAATTAAATCCTTCAACTTTTTACCTATGATCAGTCGACTTAATGTATCAGGATTAAGCTTGTAGATGTTATTTTCAGGATGAATTTGGAGATCGTTTGTTGAATCTGTGTAGCTGATTCGGACTATTTTTGATGGGGAAGAACTGCGTGATGAACTCATTTTTGATAGGAAACTGGAAAAAATGGGAAAAAGAATAATTATATCACAGGGAGGCTAGGCAGGCAAACTTGATGAACTAATTGTTAAATTTCTTCATACATTATTGGAATAATTTAAGTCTCAGTTTAAATTAAACTCTAAACGAGAGGGCAGGGAGGAGCATATTAAAATGCACGGTTTTCACTATACATCCTTTCAAAAGCTAGTAGAAACTTAATTTGTTAACTTTAAAGTATGATGGAATATTTATCTTTTCCACTAACCCACTTACTTCAGTATAAAAGACTCAATAAATCACCGCCTCAAAGCTTGCTCATTGTATGTTGAGACTAAAGTCAAACCTGCCTAATATCAGCAATAGTCAAAAGTGCTATCTCAACTGCTGTTCTACGAAGAAGCACAGTATCTGTTATTTTTGCTTTTAGGAATATTTGAAATGTCAATGTAATTTAAAATGGTGGATCTGCTGGATCCCATCCAAAGTGCCATTGAGGGAGCCAATGAAGAATGAAACATACATTTTACCATTCATAGATAAATCTTGCACATGAGTAAGCAAGTTAGGCGTTTCAGGACAGAGGGCGCGAACCCAAAAATATGACTTCTTTTGTGAGTACATTAAGCTATGCTAAGGAAGATGATAAACTGCACAAGGGTCAGTGTTATGCAAAAATATCTGTCAGGTACGCAGATTTTGCTATGACTGATCTGTGCATTCAGTTGACTTCCTTAGCACTGTCACACCGCAGAAACAAAATGGTAGACATTTGAATTAATGCTTCATTTGATGTTAGTTTACTAGCAGGATAACACATTATAAAGTTTCAAAGGGCACTGTGATTCTGATTTAATAATGCTGTTACTGAAATTATCTACTGCGGCGAAACTTCAGAAACGGACTGTCAGAAAGATAATCAGTCGCTTTCTCAAATGGTAGGTTTTCCACATACTGAGCTCTTTCCAAGCATAGCAGATGACAAGTTTCTTAACTTGCTGAATGATACTGATTAAGATTAATTCACTTATGGCTCGTTACACAATGAGCAAGCTCTAGATCATCGCTCTCTCGCTCTGGCAAGTCGTTCAGGATATACTTGAGCTCCTCACGATCTTATCCTGGAGCAACTCACAGTATTCCACAAAACAAAAGGACTGCTTTGAGGATCCTCTCTTTCTGAAAACTTGGTTGAACTTGGAAGTAATAACTATAGGGGGTGACACTCTGCACTGTGTCCCACTCCCTGGATGATAACAACAGCTGGGAAAGATCGGGAAAAGGACACTGAAGCACTTGACATTAGAACTAACTCGTGAGGAGAATTAAAATTTGCGGTGAGTAAGATGAAAAATAATGCTGTTCATCTTAAATAACACAAGAACATGACAGATATCAAGCGTTGGGTGATTAGTCAGATGCTTATCATAACGTAAGTACATACCTAATGCAGGCAATGTGATAAAGAAATGAATGATTGATAATTTGATACTGAAGTCATACCTATGATCAATACATGAAATACTGGAAATTTCGTCAGAAAATCAACAGAAGATCTCCATGTCAATTAATCACTCCTTGATTGACCGGAGAGAACAATTTGAAACAATTTGAAAAAAAAAAGGCAGAGGCATTCTAGTCAGGTCAACTTTGGAGCCTTGGAGGTTATGTTGTCATAAGGTAAAGTAAACAAACAAATGCTGCGGATTCTTGACCCTCCGAAAGAAATGCCGATTTTAGATCTTGACTGTCTTCATTAATTATTAATTATTCATTGTGTTAAGTGATAATAAATATAACTCTTTTTCGTGGTTTCTAATAAATTCAGGGTTGTGAATTCCGTCGAAATTTAGCACATGTGTAAGAGTGTTTGTTGATACATTTGTATGTAAGATTGACAATTAACGCTGCAAAGTTTTGACATAAATTCCCACATTACTTTCTTTTTTATCTTTAAATTTATCAAAATATTTCCTCATTATTAGAGGCAGGTACTTCGAACGGACTTTTTGTATCTCATTTCGTCTTCTCCCTTCATGACTGGTATGAATCTGTCGTCACATTGTTCCACTCAACATTAGTACCTCAAAATGTCTGACGGCGAAGATGATTTCCCAAAACTCTCCACAGATACCTTAAAAGCACTCCAAGAATTTTATGATGACAAAGCAGAGAAGGACAGAAAACTTAACGAACAGCTTATTGACGGGGAGAACCCATCCGGAAGTTTTGACTTTGATGAAGATTGGGTAAGTCCTTATCACATTTATCTTCCCTCTAAAAAAATATTGTCTTCAGCAAAGGTAATTCTTAGTTTAATGATACCTTCAGTAGCAAATGTCTAAAATAATGGTGGAATTTGTACGAGGTATTGAGCCATATTTTAGATCCATCTACTGTACGCACCTGCAGTATTAGGAGGCTCGTACTCCAGTGAGAGAAAGGATCCTCCAAGCTCTCAAAACACTCTTCCACTGAAAAGGAATTTTAGAATGCTACAGAATTACTTATCAAAGTTGCTAAAATCTTGGAGTGTCACATTTCCAAGAATCTTGCCAAGTTACATTTTGCGAAAATTGGATTATGAAGTATTTAACAAGATAGATGGATCGATAAATACTTATTTATTCAGAATAATATATTACGAAAATATATACTAGACACTACGAAAACCAACCTTCCGGGAAAATGAAAAATCTGATTTTGGAAAATCTTTTTGGTAGGGTTTTTTTATTCATTTTTTATCAGCTTAAGTCTCAAAGCTTTTCCTGCCTGTTCACATAATTGATGTAATTGATGGAAAACCTGCCAGACCATAACTTGACGAGTGGACAAATCACTTAAATTCCTGTCTGTAGTATTCGAGTTTAAAGCCCTGTTATGTCCCAAATATCAGTGTAATTTTAACTTTAGGTAATCATCTTTCTAATAGTTTAAACAATTTTCTTGGCTCTTTATCTATTGTACCCCTTAAATAGCTCCAGCAATCTATTAAGACTTATCAGGTTTCATTTGATTAGGTTCAAATTTACCATTGCAATCAGGACGCCTGGCTAGTAATGAAAACAAATGAATAATCTAGATGTTTTTCACTGTTCACAGCAACTGAGTCAGTTCTGGTATGATGAGGATACAATAGAGGTGCTCGCACAAGAGGCAATCCACACCGTTGGACCAGATGGAAAGATTGCCTTGATATCATGCCCATCCTTATTTCCTAAAATCAAGGCTCTTGCTCCTGCAGGCGTAGAAGGTATTTCAGTTATCTTTAATTTTAAAGTCAGGGCTCATGGATTGTAGAAAAGAGACGATCAAACTTATGTCCATTTAAACGTATGTACGTCTCTATTATTCCTTATGGACTTTTGCTCCTCAATTTCATAGAGAAAAAAAAGGAGGTGTTTGCATTTTGGGCATCTTGGAATTTTTTTGATGACGTGGGTCGGCACAATGACTTTTATCATCAATTTTCTTGGAAATGGTGTAATTTATGGGAAAAAGCATTCTATAAATAATGTTCAAAATTATATCATGAATTGATTTAAGCAAAAAAATGCGACTTTATAGTCCATTTTTCATACTTCAGATTCCGGATTTTGCTGGCCAGGTTGTACCGACCTACGTCACAGGGTAAACCAACCTCAAGTTGCAAACACTTCCTTTTTTTTCTCTATGCTTCAATTGAACTGATAGCTGAACAGAGAGAAACCAAGTAAGATCGTTTTATCTGGAATCAGTCCTACTGCATTACAAGCAGCCAAATTCACTTTATGTGTTATCTCTTTTTTTTTCCTCTGTAAAGGCAACATTCTTCCTCTTAAGTTTGTGAGAGTATATGGAGTATATTACATACTTGTATCCTTGAGGAAATCCTCTGGATTTTTCAAGGTACAAGATATGTGAATTTGAAAGTTAATCAAGTTTTTGTTTTCACTTAAAAAAATCTTAACAAGAAAAAAAATTAAAAACTAGCCCTTATTGTTTTTACAGCGTAAGACAAAGTGGGGACACTGGAACTCCCACTTATATAACTGTGGTCATGTATAGAAGAAAAAAAAAACTGGCTTGTGTTTGACACTACTTACATTACATTCTTGCCTCTATTTTTCAAATCTGAATCTAAACTTGATCTCTTTTACAGTGGTTTTGTTTGAATATGACAAGAAATTTGCGGTGTATGGGTCAAGCTTTGTATTTTATGACTATAAAGCGCCTTTGGATGTCCATAGAAATCTTGCTTCAAAATTTGACCTAGTAATTTTTGACCCTCCTTTTCTCTCTGAAGATTGTCTGACTAAAGTGTCTCTAACTGCCAAATTCCTAGCAAAAGACAAATTAATCTTGTGCACAGGTAAACAATTGTTTTTATCTTCTCTTTGAAAACTAGCCTTATTTTGTCAGCACTTGCAATAGGTGGAGAGGAGCCTTATCATAAAGAATTTTTTCATCTGCGTCTTTGGAAAAAAGTATGTACGTTGAAATCAGATGCAGTAAGGGAAAAGGAAAGAAAATTCAATTTTAAAAGGGAAATATATGCTGTGAGTCAACGATAGAGAAACTGAACAAGAACAGCTTGATCTGGCAAACACTGATCTAGAGACTGAATCTCAAATATTTAAGCAAAAATTAGTTTGTTAGCCCTCATGTGTTAAGGTTGATAATGAACTGGATTTTTCATGATAGAGAGAATTAGCCCATCTAAACAAACTTTTTTCTCACAAAGTTTTGTTGTTTGGAGTGACGCTAGTTACATCCAATCAGAAAGGCAACTTTGGGTGTATTTTGGGTTTAATTTGATCCATCAGCACTGTGCAGTCTCCTGTCTCACTACATTTAGTTTCAGTGTACGTATTCATAATAAAGATTATACAAATATTGGCCATGTTGTCTTAGTGGGAAAGCAATTTTGTACCCCATCTATTGAGCAAGTCATCCAAACCGCCTTGCAGAAGCATTGAAAAGATAGTGTCAGCTCAAAAAAATTGTATTAAATGGTCAGTTTGAACTTTTTTCTCTATCATGAAAATATTTCTTTGAACACATTGAAGGGTAACAAACCACCTCCAGAGTATTTTTTCATTCTCTCACCCTGGTAAAATCTTAGTTCCTTTGTTGCATAATAAACTCAAGTTATTAGGGTCTATTTCCCACCTTAGACAATACTGCTAGCATGATGAGTAAACTTAACGGGTATAGCTCGTGGTTTCAACCACAATTTTCATTACCTCTGTTATGAGCATTTTTGACATTTTCCCTTGAGATGTCATGATGAAAAATTTTGTATAATTACAGTGACCTAAATTTTTTTACTTGCACTGTCTAATGAAGCGATAAAAAAAGTAAGTAGTTAATGTATTATTTTTTAGAAGCCTATTATAATTTTTATTCATCAAAGTTGCCCTTTTCTTTGTGTTCTGTCATTTAAATATGCTTATTAATTGTTTGGTGATCTACAGGTCTTGTCATGGAGAAATTAGCAAATCGTCTTCTTGCCGTCAAAAAATGTAAATTCATCCCGAAGCATCGAAACAATTTGGCAAACGAATTCGGATGTTTCAAGAATTACCAGTCAGAGCTTGAGTGGGATTATTGAAGTGCGGTTTCCTATCATTTTAATGGAGATTTTAATATTATCTGAATTGGAGCGGAATTTTTTTTTCTTCTATTTACCACGCACATCTGTACATGTTGGTTTTTCCTCTTTCAGTGCCTGATGATTTTAAGTGAATTTTTATAAAAGACCTTTTTATTTATTGATATGTTTATTAATTATATTTTTTGCTAAATATTACGTTTTTAATGTGTTGTTAATGAGAACGTTTGCCGAGGCCACTGAAAATCCCAATTTGTCCATAACTTCTACTTTTCATTTGTCTTCATACTGTGTGCTAACAGATCCTATGTGGGACACTGCTGGGATTTTATCTGTGACAATCCCATGGTCAGGTGCACAGTAATAGCATTGTAGAGTAATGGATAAAATAAAAAGAAATCATAATATTTTATTTACTTTTACAAAAACGAACACAATTTATTTGATTTATAAAAATGAAATATGATTTAACAAAATAATAAAAACACAGAAATTAACAGCCTCAGAAGCTATTGGAGACGAAAGCAGAGGCTGTTAGAACAAAAAGTACATCCGTTTACTTAGTTGCCATATATTTCTCCACATGTGGGGCATATCTCATATTTAGAGGGGAGGAGGAGGATTTCAATACGATTAATACAGGGCTCATGAAAAAATTTTGGTGAAAGACTTTTTTCGACATTCTTTTACATTTTTTCGGTCTGTACTAAATAGGTAATTAGTATGCATTCATGCATCTCGGCTCTTACATTCTCCATGAAGATAATTTAAAGAGGATGAGGAGGGGTAGGAGTACATTGTACGTCATATAAGAAATTCTGCAATTTCTAGACTAATACCTGAGAATATAGATCAGACAATAAGCCTGAGTGACTCATATGCGATGATTATCGAGAGTACAAATAAACAAACAAATAATTTTTCAAAATTACATAAGTAGTGCACGGTGCCCCTGAACTCACTTTAAATGCGACTTTGTTGTACATCAAAAATTCAAGTTGGAGGTTGTAGTGGGGTACTCCCTGATGGGTTTTTGGGCAATTTCGAAATAGGTTGTTGGAGCTCCTCGAAAAATAATCGCATTTTTGTGGTTTTTTAGGGGTAAAATAGCAAAATTGGCCTCCGGGCGACAAATTAAACCCCCTCTCCCTCATCCTTGCCTTGACCGATCTGAATTTTTAGTATGTTTTTACCTGGTATAAGATGGGACTTTTCTGAAATTTTCATGCCCATACAAATTTTTTTGCTCCCGCGGCAGCGTTGCCAAGTTGCGGACTCCAAAATATCGAATTTAATGATAAAATGAAGGTTTCGGAGTGTGATTTCCATTCAAAATCAAAAATTCAAATTGTAAGTTGTAGTAGGGTACTGCCTGATGGGGTTTTGGCCAATTTCGAAGTAGAGTGTTTGAGATTTTTGAAAAATAATCGAATTTTTGCGGTTTTTTAAGGGTAAAATAGCACACTGAGCACGGGGCGGCAAGTTGAACCTTTTCTCTCTCATCCTTGCCGTGACCGATCTGAACTTTTAGTATGTATTAACCTGGTATAAGATGTGACTTTTCTGAAATTTTCATGCCCATACAAAATTTTTTGCCCCCCGCGGCAGCGTTGCCAATTTGCGGACTCAAAAATATCGAATTTGATGATAAAATGAAGGTTTCGAGGTGTGATTTCCTCCAAAATTTCACGAAAAATGTGCAATCTGAGAGTTTTCGATAAGAAAAGGCATATTTGAACAATTTAGAGTTGCAGTGTTGCCAGCTTTTGATTTAAAATTCGTCAAAATGACCCAAATCGCGTTGCAACCTCGAGCGCTGGATTTTTATTTCGTTCAGAATTGGTTATTACGGTTCTTCTGTACTCTATGCATTTAGGTACCATGAAAATTATGCCATTACTTACTTGATGGGTGCAGCTAACTCAAAAAGAGAGGCCGGATAAAGCGATGAGTCGGGGGAAAACGAGCGGTTCGGGTTGACAGAAAGTTCTTAAATCTACTCCATCACCAGAAAGTAGAATTTGAGAACTTTCTCCCACCCCCCAAACCTTATCCCTGTTGCAGTCAATCCTTTGAACATCTGATCTGAAATTTTGCCCCCGAATTTTTACCAAAAACATGATGTGTTTTTGCACAAAAACGTGTTTTTATTTTTCATGTTTTTGGTAAAAATTCGGGGGCAAAATTTCAGATCAGATGTTCAAAGGATTGACTGCAACAGGGATAAGGTTTGGGGGGTGGGAGAAAGTTCTCAAATTCTACTTTCTGGTGATGGAGTAGATTTAAGAACTTTCTGTCAACCCGAACCGCTCGTTTTCCCCCGACTCATCGCTTTATCCGGCCTCTCTTTTTGAGTTAGCTGCACCCATCAAGTAAGTAATGGCATAATTTTCATGGTACCTAAATGCATAGAGTACAGAAGAACCGTAATAACCAATTCTGAACGAAATAAAAATCCAGCGCTCGAGGTTGCAACGCGATTTGGGTCATTTTGACGAATTTTAAATCAAAAGCTGGCAACACTGCAACTCTAAATTGTTCAAATATGCCTTTTCTTATCGAAAACTCTCAGATTGCACATTTTTCGTGAAATTTTGGAGGAAATCACACCTCGAAACCTTCATTTTATCATCAAATTCGATATTTTTGAGTCCGCAAATTGGCAACGCTGCCGCGGGGGGCAAAAAATTTTGTATGGGCATGAAAATTTCAGAAAAGTCACATCTTATACCAGGTTAATACATACTAAAAGTTCAGATCGGTCACGGCAAGGATGAGAGAGAAAAGGTTCAACTTGCCGCCCCGTGCTCAGTGTGCTATTTTACCCTTAAAAAACCGCAAAAATTCGATTATTTTTCAAAAATCTCAAACACTCTACTTCGAAATTGGCCAAAACCCCATCAGGCAGTACCCTACTACAACTTACAATTTGAATTTTTGATTTTGAATGGAAATCACACTCCGAAACCTTCATTTTATCATTAAATTCGATATTTTGGAGTCCGCAACTTGGCAACGCTGCCGCGGGAGCAAAAAAATTTGTATGGGCATGAAAATTTCAGAAAAGTCCCATCTTATACCAGGTAAAAACATACTAAAAATTCAGATCGGTCAAGGCAAGGATGAGGGAGAGGGGGTTTAATTTGTCGCCCGGAGGCCAATTTTGCTATTTTACCCCTAAAAAACCACAAAAATGCGATTATTTTTCGAGGAGCTCCGACAACCTATTTCGAAATTGCCCAAAAACCCATCAGGGAGTACCCCACTACAACCTCCAACTTGAATTTTTGATGTACAACAAAGTCGCATTTAAAGTGAGTTCAGGGGCACCGTGAGTGGAGAATACTAGTATTTGCTTAACTGTGGGATCCACTCTAGTTCCTCTCTTCTGGTAATTTGTACGGGAAATCAATGTATTCAAAAATGTTTTTCTCACTGGAAATTGGAACAGGAGCTCCTGGGACGCCTATATGACACAAAAAAGAAACATTTTCAATAGGAAAAAAAAAAAAAAATGAAGACATGTCAACAAAGCTTGTTTACAATGTTGATCTCTCCCTGGTTATACTTTCACAATCAAAAGGCCTCATGACTAAGCGAGATTTTTGGGAGTATTAAAAACCGAGATATTACTGCAGGCTACTCTTAATCCTTTGGTTGAGAAATTCAATACTATTGGGATTGGGATTGGTTTGGGAGGAGTATTGTGGCGTTTGGAACCTTGCATGAGATAATTCTGTTCATTTAAGAAGCTGATGTTTTTTCCCTCAGCATTGAGTGCTTGTACAGGTACAGCTCTAACACAAAAAATGACTGTCAAATGAAAATAGACAATTACTTTGAGTAATATTGGATCATGCCTAAAATTAGTGGGTATTCTTTGACTGGAGATTTTCAATTTTTGACATCAAATGATTTTTTAGTGGCACCGGTTGAGGAGAGCCATGAGTCCAGGTACACTTTTTTCAACTTCTACTGAATAAATATTCAACAATTTTTGTTTGATTGATTCCTTGAACTTTCTTTTGGTTTTAGACGATAGGATTTTTGCATATTCAAAAAACTGAAATTTACGTCAGTCCATGAAAGAAATTTAGAAAAATTTCACATAAAGTGTAATTAATTTTTTTCCTTGAAGAGTAATTATAGAAAACCCTCTCGTTTGTAGTTAGAAAATAACATTAAAAAATAGGAAGAAGTTTTTGGAAATTTATCTGGTAGATCTTGAGACCAACTGCATTTGTGTAAGACAATGGGTTACTACACCTTGTTTATTTTATTGAATATTCCGAAAGTACTATGTGAGTAGATAACGTGGTGATTTTTCTGCATTTTCATGGAGCCAAAATCGCGGAGAAAACCGCTTTTGAAAAATCCAAAAACTGCAAGACATTTCAAACGCACCCAAATGGCGGGAAACTGGCGCGGTTGATGTACTGCGGTAGTCATATCGCAATCTTCTCTCATTTTCCTCTGATGTTTGTTAAAATAAAACGTATTTCAATGTGGAGTTGTTGCTTGTTTATTACAGCTAACATATGAATGAGATTCTAGTCTTGAATTCAAAAGATATAATTTCGACTTTAGTATTGTTCTCATATATGAAGAGTAGACATTTGACGGACGTCAAGGAAACCCATGCCCGCCTCTGATTGGTGCCGGATGACATCATTCGGTGCAGCGCGAAACCGGGGCGTTTTAAATTTGCGTATAAGTTGAGCAATTTGAACTGTGCATTTCTCGGTAATTGAGTTACTTGTCCGCGTTTTTAATGTTCGCATCGTTTTATATGCGTCATTTTCCTTCAGAAAACTATATTCGCAAGTCAAAATTCGTTCATGGTTTACTGACCTATTAGAGAGTCTAAAATTTAAATATGAGTCCAGTAGCTTAAACTTAGCTTACATATCTTAGAAGTGATGTTGAAACTATGTAAGTTAGGTAGCATATATTATAATAATCCGGCATTCTAAACATATTCTTCTATGTTTTTACTTACTAATGTTTATTACATATATGTTATGTATTTACTTGTTAAATCGTTTCGACCTTCAGGTCGAAAAACGTTGTTGTGAGATAGACCTGCTTAAAGATTTGAATACACAAAGGAATGGAATGTCATCAGGATACTGGATTGAATTGCCAATGTGTCCCAAAAAATTGCATAACTGTAACTGATGTGATAATAATCAGATTTTAAACACCTTGGTCTTGAATTACAGCTAAGGATATACAAAATTCAATTAAACAAAAAAGTGAAAACAATTTTTGACCAAAAAAGACTCATGACTCCCCTAAATGATGAAGCACTAGGTGCTACACCATGACACGACTTTTGAAAAGTAAGTGCTATGTTGCCTCCTCATCTGAAAAATTATATTTTATAGCTTGACAACAGTGAATAAAACAAGGAAAATTATTTATAGACTAGGATACCTAACATAACTTGACTGCGCTAATAGTATAATCAAATTGACTTACCAGTGGATCCGATTGGTCGCAGACAATACTCATTCAGAGTAAAGTTATTCTGCAATGCATGTGCTCGCATTTGCTTGTTAAACATGTCACTGCCAGTGAAATATAATACAGCACAAAAGTACTGATCAATCGGAGTGACTCTGATATCAAGTCGCCGAGCTGTGTCCTTTGGTTTACAGGCGCCCTGTGAAATAAGGTAGTGGAGCATTAAAATTGGGAAATTACTTGAGACTTAAATTTCTGACTATTAATGTTACTTCCTGCCCAGCAAAATGAGTGTAGAAACGTTGTCATAAAATTACTTTTAAAATTAACATCGAAACATTATGATGTTTTTGCACATGCTTTGCCAGGCAGATATTCAGGTTTGCCATATTTGAAACAGACCAACAGTTGATCGGTGCTTTCAACAATGCTGGCAGTTCATAACAGCTTTCTTTTCAAGCATGACATGGGAACGAATCTGTGTCGATAGAGTTTGTCTACTCAAGGATATCTGTTTTTCGCAAACCAAAGAGATTCAGTATAAAATCAAACTAAACTTGGCATCTGCATATAAGTGTAACCAGGACCGTGAAAATTAAATTGTAGTTGATTGCTTCGACAATATCAGCCTTTAGTGAATAGTGAAATTATTTTTTTTTTAAACGTAGCTTCGGAACTATTCCAAATGATGGTGAGCAGATACAAAAAACGCAAAAGCTGATGTCATTAGAAGAATGATTGAAAAAGAGAGCAAAAATTTACCATGAACTTGACATCTCCGACTGAAATTGTATCCGTAATGAGTTCAATTTTCTGAAGGGCAGAAACAACTTGCTTCAATAAAGCCTCCGATTTTGATTTCGGCATATCTGATGTGTAATTAGGATGGGTGATGAGAACGTCCATGTCTCCACTTTCAGCTTTACCTCGCCTACAACAAAACAATTCCCTATGAAAATACTTGCAAAGAGTGAGACATTAAAGGCTCTTGCACAAATATATGAAATAAAAAAAAATATTACCAGCCAAAATTCAGCAGAAAAGGAAAAGTAAATCGGTAGTCACTCAATGAACTAGTGAAATGTATATGTTATGGGCAACATCTAGGACGCGAGCAACATCGACAATGCTCAAGGAAGGCTTAAGATAGTTGTACAAAGTACAGGATTGTTAAATAAAGTCAACTATGCCCGGGCATCGTAGACTATTCCCAAAGGTGCTGGAGAAAAGTCAAAAAGAAATCAAACGTGAAAAGAACAATGCCTGGGCATTATTGATAATTCCGAAAGAGTGTTGGTTATGGTCAGGCAAAGAGTTGGATTGCAAAGCGGTTCTTTAATTTTTACTTGATTCCTGGTCCATTCTATTTCAGTCTCCGCGGCCAATACTGCAGCAGCACTAATAAAGTAAATCAAACAAATCTTCTAAAAAACATTCCATTCAACCGTATTACATGCTTTGTTTGTGTTCCTCACAGTTAATTTGCGTTTTTCTGCCCCTCCTGTTTCAAAAACGTCAAACCTTGCCAGCTTCCGATAGTAACTCTGATCTTTCTTGGACTTTCTGCACTGATTTTTAACTGATTGGATGAGATGCTGTCCTTCCTGCTCTCTGTCTAGTCTGTCTATGCCAGCATCCTAAGTGCTACTCTTAACAAATTTTTGCTAATCCCATTTTAAACTTAAGAAAGTCTAAAATGCAAAAATATGTTTTTGAAAATGGAGCACATGTTTGAACAAGATTTCTCACCGATAACTTCCACAAATGGTAATTTGAAAGTCTTTGTCCAGCTTCGTAAGTTCTGACGATATAATTTCTTCTACCTGTTTGATCTCATCGCGTGGAATCCGTTTTTCAAAATCTTCAAAATATCTGAAAGAAGTAACAATTAAGATTATACTATTATACACAATTACACATGTAATTAGTACTTGAAGTATCTTTTTGATCATACTTTAAATACGGTTGCATGGTGAAGATAATACAAAAAACTAATAATTAATATTTTTGAGATGTCCAAAAAACAACAAAATTTTTATTTCCACATACTATGGGCATGAAAACTGTACACTCCATTAGTTACAGCAGTTTCAGGAACTATTAAGACTTGTTAACTTTGATTTTATGTAACTTGATTATTAAGTGCAGTTTTTCAGGTTTTTTTTCTTACTTGATTATGAAGAGCTATTCAGGAATTTTGAGGCCCGAATGAGAGTTTTGTAAAGGTCTAAAGAGATGAAAGTTAACACTACTGTCAAATTGTATGAGATTGCCAATTATGTATTCACAGTTTTCTTAGACAGAAGTCTTTCACTACTTGTAACTATTGATCAGTACAAACTCCAGGTAGAATAATGGACACCTCTTGGAGCGACACTTCCAAAAATTAAAACAATGACAAAAAAATAACTTACTTTAGTCCAATGCGCTGATGATGATTGAGTTTATTTTCATGTAACTTTAATTCTTCGATTGTTCGGATACCAAGATCATAAAGTTCTTTTGCTTTAGCTGGTCCAATGCCAGATACACGAGTCAATGTTGAAATAGCAGGTCCTACTCCATCCTCTCGAATCTGTACAAGAAAAATCTCAAGATGAAATGGACTCATGCTAAAAAACATATCTGCTCACTTAAACTTTAAATCAGCTGATAACTCAACTTTTGTTTTCATCATTATGAGTAGCCGAAAACCGAAAAATCTTGGCACTAACTTAAATGTACCTATTGTGAGAAAGCATTTAGATTGAAAATGATCTACTACTCCTGACATGCAGCTTTTTTTTCAAGTAAAACAAGACAAGTTCAGTACATGTTATAAGCACTTCATTTTATGAAAGTTTTTCACTTGAACTGGGTACATACCTCTGTAATATTGGGGGTAAATACCAAGAATCTTATACAGGTACTCTGGTATTTTACGACAAAATTTGTGGTTCAGTTTTAAAAGGTAATAAGAAGACATTCTAGACTTGAGAGCGCACAAAATCTTACTAGTGTATTCAGTTTTTGTTTGCAAGAGAAATAATGAGAGTAGACCTTTTCTTTGGTTGACCCTTAAAAATAATATCAGAAGTTAAACTGAATGGCCATGAAAAAGTAAGTAAATGATAAAATGATGCAGATGAATATTGAAGATTGAAATGAATAATGTTGAATCGAGAGGGTTGTACCTTTTCCAATTTTGCTAGTTTCCCAGTTTCCAGAAATTCATCAATTTTCTGAGCAATCTTCTGACCGACACCTTCTAATTTCGAGGCTTCCTTTCCAGATTTTATCCTGGTTGCATGTGCTGCGAGAGAGGTTGCTGCCTTGCGGTAAGCATTGTACTTGTGAATATTGCGATTCACATTCCTTTCATTTTCAGCCAGCTCTGGGAATCAAATTAAACACATGTGAAGTTGAGGAGATGGATCCTCTTATTGTTAAACTTTCTCATTTTAGCAAGAATATAGGTAGTGTGCTAATTTGCCAGAATGCATTCTTACATGTCATATTTAGAATAAAACTGAAAATTCTCATGATAAAGGAGAAAAGCTTACACAGGCACAATTTAGTACTGTTCGCTGCAACTCTAGTTACAACCAATTAGGGAAGCTCCAGTGAATGTACTGTCGGATTTATTGGCTCCATCATCAGCGCAGGCGCTTCATAGTCTACTTCTGGGCCCAGTGAAGTCAAGAGAATTATTCTGGGATGGGGCAAGTGGTTTTGGTTGTAAACAGACTTACATTATCAAGTGAGCATTAGGCATTGTCATCTATATAGTGTAGTGATAACAAACAATCTCAGTATCAAGAAGATTCATATGGTAGACCATCTACATGTAGATGCTTGTTTCTTTGAAGAGTTTTAATGCAAAGTTACAGGGGGTCAAACTTCATGGGGCTTCCCTTTTATTTGAACTGTGCAAAGGACCACAATGGAAGTAATGAAATGCCTCACTTTTTTATATTGGTCCACTGGGGCAGTATAGCCCAATCCTTGCGTTTCAGTGGAATGCTAGGATCCTTCTTAAGGGCTTTTCTTTTGTCCGTGGAACGCATGGAACACGATGGTAGCGGTTCAGGCTGGTTCAACCAGCCTGAACCAATCTCAACCTACCTCGGAAGAGTGGGCCAAGCGCTCCACTGGAACACATGGAACGCGCCAGTGGAACGGGATAACAAAGTGATGCGTTCTATTGCAGTCCACTATGGTTCGGATAAAAAAAAAGCCCTTTACAAGGTGGATTGAGAGTGGTTAAGTGCAATCCTAACCTCAGTCAAACCAGATCCAGTATGTTGACGAATGAATGGCACAGTCACTATATTCATTCATGAAAGCGTGAGGATAGCAAATTCTCTGTTGTACTCTAAAACCAACTATCTTGGCAAAGCTTCAACATTGTCACACAACTTTTCTGGTGCAGACATTCTTTTCTCTTCTAATTTGTCAATCCATGGATGACATCATAGGAATGGTAACTTACAGACGAACTGAGGGGGGAAAAGTGAGGAAAAACCTACTCACCCATTAGAAACTCACAAAAGTCATGATTAGGATTGTCTTCAGAGGAGGGCGCTTTCCGCTTGCTCATGCTTGATACTCGATAAAAGCGAGATAGAACAAGAGGCAGTATTAACCTTATATATAACCCTTTATTTCTATTTAAATGAAACTGAGGATATGCCATTAATTGACACTTCACAAGTATTTATAGAGGCAATTTGGATCTGTGAAAGATTACATAAAGGTTCCGAAACATAGGTACTTAACTGACTTAAGTAACTGTTTCACAAGGAATCAAATATTTCCATTACACAAAAGGGATCGGAGTAAACGCGCATTATCACCTTAATTATGCATTACGAAACAATTAATGTCACATTAAAGTATGCAAAAGACTCTCGTTGAAATATAACTTGGTCACTGCTGCGCAAAAAATCAAAATCAAGCATGGAGATTTGTTTATTTACATACATTCGACCGTGAGAGAGGGATAATGGAAAACATGAAACACTACAGGTAACCAAGGTAACGAAACGGAATGGAGTGAGTCGGAATTGAACCATTCTTTTCTTTTGACTTTTTTGACTCTTCTTAGATTCCTCATATTGACTTTGTTCGGACGATAGATCACCATATTTTAACATAGTTTTTAGATTTTATCGTGTGTAATTACAATAACTACTGCGAAAAGTCCATCATATAAATTACAAAATTCCAGGTGAGAGCCGCTGAGAGCTTTAAAAGCTCCGCTTTTCATCGCGAATTTGGACTTCACTATTTCTCCCGCCACCGAACTGCTGGGAGCGCTCGGACGAATCAGCGAGCTGAAAACTTTTTGGCGCAAACATCCGCGCTGTTGCGAATGTGTCGCGACAAGTGACAACCGATTCTTGTTCGTCTTACGTAGGTACGTTTTTATCGACAAAAACTTTGATTTGATCGGTTTTTCAGGTACCTTTAATCCTGCTCTTTGAAGTTTGAACAGAATTCTAAATAATCCACTTCACTTCGAGCTTGAGAAGAAGGAATACAACTTCTTTTAAAGATAAAGAACATGTAAGTAAATATTAACATACTTTTTCATGCCTTTCATTGAGTCCACACAGCTTATAATAAGTATAAGCCCACTTTTTCTTCAGAACACAATACTTAATGGATCCTCAGGAAGAAATTACAACATGCCACCATACAGGCTGAGAAAGTATTCCTTATGATTACAGAAATTTGAATAGAGAGGAGGAGGGGCAGTCCTTCTATATAGTGTTATTATATTATTATTAAAGATGTTATTATATAAACGGAAAAATTTCATATTCTCTTATTATGGGTAAGTATACCCATATCCCTATAGGGACCTGAAAATATCTCGACCTGTTTTGGAAAAATTTCTAGGTTTTCACTCTCCTATACAAGGCCGAATTTGACAGGCACAATTTTATTGCAAATCAGGAATTAGCTTTAAGTACATCGTTTTTTATCAAAGGGGCTTGAAACTTTGATAGGAAGAAGAGGAAAGAAGAATTTGGAAGTACCCACCTAAAAAGAATTTTAAGTAAAAGGAATGTTTACTTACCTTTCATCATTGGTAGGTTTTTACATCATCCGCAAAAAAACCCACCGATAATCATTTTTGTGAAACAACGTTTTTACATTGCCATGCTTCAATTTTTCTCCTATTTTATGTTTATTTTTTAAGAGAAACAGAGTCAACTTTATAGCTTGAAACATATGAGGAATATTCTGAGCCAGTGAAAAAAATCAATGAAGTTTGCAAGAAATTCATACGTTGACTACTTTTCCGGGGAAAAGATAAAGCATGACAGGTGTGCAACTGTAATGTTACTTGGATGGGCCTCTGTAGGGTGCCCTTGCTCCAAGACGAAGGGGAAGAGGATGAAAACACGAAACACAAAAATATAAGGGATGAACTCTGTACTTCAACGTGAGAAAAGTGGAGGAGCCAGCCGAGGCCTGGCCTCCAAGAGGTACAATAGAACTCTATCCGCTGCTGAACTGTAACTAACTCTAAAACTAGACTAGTGTCCTGAAGAAATGATGAAGAGAAAGTCCTGATGGTTGAGGGTGACAAAGCCGGACTCCGCGCAGGGTGATTAGATAGAAAGAGCAGAGTCCGGTGATATGACGTAAGAAGAGAAAGCATGCGAATANAAGCTTTTCTCTCAGAGTGATATTTCTCTCAACAAATTTCATGGTTTCTTACAATAAACAGGTCAACTTTAAAAAGAATTTACCCAACATCACTAAAAATTACTTTTTTATATTTGAATATTGCATCTACTTTCTTCCCTTTGCCTCATTGACTTGTGAATGCTCTCAAAGTTTATAAATCGTGTTTTTAGGGAAAAAAATCCAATTTGCCCGTTCAGATGGAGCCTCAAGAGGAAATCAGGTTTGAACTCATCATTCAGACAATCAAACGAACAATACTGTGATCGTCAACCCCTGCCTAATGGAGCTGATGATTTATTCCTCTTGAATAGAAATGACAATCAAATACTTGTAAACCAAGGAGGTAATTTGTTATTAGTATATTTACAACAGCACATTGGTTTCTGATAGAATATAGAAGTCACTAAATAAGATGCGTAGACATCATTTCCAGAAATTTGATTAAAGACACCTTTCAGATTCTTAACACTTGAAAAAATGAATCGTAAGAAACCTGTGAATGCAGCCTCATCACTTCCTCCATTCAAAACCTCACAACTTCGCCAATTTTTAAGCAAAGAAAGGATTTTTATTTCAATCGATTAGAAATTATAAGATAGTTTTAAAATGAGACCATGATCAGCTCAATAAGCATTTTGCTTCCAGAATTATAGCATCAGTCCAGGAACTTTTGCGACAACTGTATGTATATGCTAAAAAGTTTAATTGATCGGTTGATAAGTTCGGCAAAATTATCACAGCACTGTAGAAAAGTTTCTTTGCACACCAGGTGAAAGCATTTTTGTGGATCACTTGACACATCTTAATTTAACGAAGTAAGTAAACAATAAAAAATCACTGTTCAGTGAGAAAGTGTAACCAGAATTTATCATTTTGCCATATAATTTTCCTCCTTAATTCTGTTTTCTTAGTTCCACAGAACGAGCATGGTGCAGGGACAAATTTTATGAACATAAATGCAGACCGAATTCAACTAGTGGAAGAGGAGGCACATTGTTATGTCCCAACTGATCAAAATAATCTTTCAATTCAGATGGAAGATGAATCACCAGCTGTTAAGGCCAAAAAAATGAAGTTTGAGGAGCAAAGTAACCCGAATATTATGGACATTGACACTTTATCAGAGAGAGTTCCTTTAAATAAGGCAAGTTATATTTTTGAGTTTGACATTATTTCCTAACAACACATTGAATTTAGTTACTGTGGCAACATGATCATGGAGTGGACGTGAGAAAGTTATCATATAAAACCAATGGTAGATTTTATAATAACCCGGTGCTTCTTGCAGAAATCATCCCAAATATTTTCCCCAAGGTTGCATAGGTACCTAACACCTACATAAATACCTAATTATTGTTGCTGCATGAGGAGATGAGCCACAATTACAAAGATCGGTTCAAATGCAATATTGATGGAGATATCATGAGCATGACATACGACATCATCCATCAAGGTAGTTTTTTACATCTTCCTATTTTAGTCATTAATTGTTTAGTTCAAAAAGTGTACACAACTCTGCATCTTGCTATGAGGTAAGAAAGCATATCGGTCACTTTTCTTTTTTCTTGCATTTTGACTATTGAAAAAGGGCCAGCACCTTTCAGAAAAGTTACATATCGTTCAAAGTTCGGTGTTTAGTTGATCCATGACAGAGCTAATGTGGAGACGTATCTATACTTCAAACTTCTTTACAAAGCACATCAGTCTACAGTTACATCTTCAGGTTCGAGTAAAAGACAATAAGGGTTTCTCATTCCATTTAATTGTTTAGGATCTGGATGAAATTTTTAAGATAAAGGTGGATGAACTAAAAGTACTGGAAAGCAGATACTCTGAATGGATAGACAAGAATTGGATCCCATCTAAAGATGAAGCTGTGCAAATGTTGACTGATTCTATAATATTGAAGCAACGGTTACAAGAAATAAGCAAGTGCTACGGAATGGTATGTAAAGAAACAAAATGACTATCCGATTAAGAGTGAATTTGAAATCTAAATACATTTATAGAAATGATTTTACTAGTCTACCTAGGGTATGGATCAAGAAAACTGAAAAATACACATTTCACGTTAAAATGCTGTTAATTCTTTGACGCATTTTACTTTTATGAGGCACGACTAAAAACTAAGTTAACAAAATTTCCCTGATACAAGCAGCCAGTAGAATAGTTTAGAAATGCGTTTCTCATTTTCACCATCAAGTTATGCACAAAGATACATTGAGATTTTTGTAAGAGAGCTGCCACTTTTCCCAATTATTCCTTCTTTTTCCTTTTTTTCTTTCTTTCTTTTCACTTAAAAATATTCCTGAGGGGATAATTCCACGCTTGCAGTCCCTAAAGTCTCATTCCGCTTCAGTACCAAATCAGGTCAGCCCCAGGTAACGGTTTTTTTAGACCATCAAACTCGGGCCACCTGGCTGGGAAACGAACCTGGGACCTTCTGATTAAGGCGCTACAACCACTACACCACAGGTGGCCGACATGGAGAACGCAGGAGGTAGGAACTGTCTCACTATTTTATCTATGAACATTTTGAGGAAAGCTTATCCTTATTGATACCATCCACTGAATGTTCCTAGATCCATTTTTTTTTTAGAAGGACTGAAGAATTTTTCCTTCTTTCCAGACAGAAGAAATGAGAAACATTCTGGAAATAGTCAAGATATTGATCATGAACATTAAGGAGTCAATTAGTGAATGCGATGCCTGCTCTATGGAGCTTATGGACTATGAAACTTGCCTTCCACAGAAATGGTCATTGGAAAAAATGAGTGCTGAATCTATTGAAGGAAGAAAATCAGATCATGAGGTAGACTGGACATTGAAATCTGAAGCCGAAAAAATTTCATCTGGCGAAAGGCCATCTGACCTCGACGAAGAAGATTCCACAATGAATGCAGCTGCAGTGAATCAGAGCCAAGAGGACGAGCAGCAATGTACGGACGCTCCAGATAATGTTCCTCAAGAGTTGGACCCTGCGATCAGAGCTCAGAAAGTTAGAGCAATTAGAGCCTTGCTACTTCCTCAAATCCTTTACATGCTGGACAATTATGATGAGTGGTCTAAGAAGCATCATGATCAAATCATGTGCGAGTTTTTAGATACAAAACAAAAGGAATTTCGACAGTAGAGAAATCTTGTTGATGACAATAGAAGTGATTTACGAACAATAAAATTCTCTGTCAACAGCCCTACAACAAAATATCATCAAGTATAACAAAAGAACGAAAAAATCGAGTTAAAGGAAGGTCCTAGTATGAGTGAGCTACCATACGCACTTTTAGCAAGATCATTACATACATGATGATAAAAGCATTTGGTTTTTAAGACTCAGTAAATTTTATGTAAATGTGTAATGGGCTCATTTTGTAAGCATTTCTCATATTTTTATGAGTTTTTTGTACATTCATTTTCAATGGAAGGACACTACATTTAACTTCGAAGTTCAATGTTGATGTTTCAATAAAAGAGACATAAATGTGTAGAGAGCGTTTTCAGAGATATAGAAGGAGAGAAAGATTTAAAAAATAAAAAGATAATATTAGGAATCGAAATATATATGTAAATTTTTAAAGATCACAAATAAATATGATATAATACTTATCTGGTTATTTATGCTTAATTTATCTCTGAGAAGGTCATATGACATAGTTATTTGATAGCAAAAAATAAATTAACACACAGAGAATATTTTAGGGTGGACATAAATAAGTACTTAATTAAGCATCTAATTAGGAATAAAGTGAACTTTTGAAGAAATTGCACATGCGTTAGAAAATAATTGGAAGTGATTAATGACTGAATTATAAAAATATCTATTTCTTTCACCCCGCCATTTGATTAAAACTCATTGCTACTCACATGTTTATACTCATATTTGCTAAAGCTGAGGCATTTGGATTCTAGGTCAAAAATCTATGCTGAAAGATCAAGAAAGAATAACACAGGATGACTAGATAGTTTGACTGAGGATTTATGGTCAGATTCCATTAAATAAGGAGACGAGTCACTATGAACTGCCTCTTAAACAAGATTACAGATTCCTGTATTAGACAAGATTGGACTGAACAGACCTATTGCACTACAGCGTTCAAGAATTTTTTTTTTCCTCTATGAAAAATTGCACCATTTTGATGGTTCAATGATTAACTCCCATCTCAAAAAATCTTGGCTAATGATGTTGCATGGCTCCCAAGAATAAAAGAAAAATCAACGGCAAAAGTCTGCAATCACATATCTCATTTGCAGTGTCTGAAAATCTCCGCCTCTATGTTATTTTTTCAAAGGAGAACAAATTGACATCATTCCTTGAAGTTTTTGCAAAATTTTCTTCATACGAAGAAGAAAAATTACGGCAGTTTTAAAGAGTTGCGGTTGAGTAGTTTTCCATTTGAAAAATAAAGTATGACAGGAAGTCTGCGGCATCGCAAACTGAGTTAAGTGATTGCCAACTTACACTGTCAAAATGCAGAAGGAAATTAGAAAATGCTGGCGAACATTCTGTAGACCTTTTCCACTCAGGGATGTCTCATTAAAGTGAGCAAGAAAATGAATCCTATGTTTCTCTCATCAATTCTGAATGAAGACTCTTTTTCAAGATATGAAAATGAATAATAAGTGCAATTGAGGAGCTTCCCTGAGAAAGGGCTCATAATGATTATTGCATTTGAGAAAAATCCATTTCAAGTTTCCAAAATTATTTTCTGGCCACTGATGGTGACTTACATTGGAGGCTGGATTCCAATTTCCAATGTGAAGGTCACCGTCAAAAGCCAGAGAGTAGTAGTGAAAACTTCAAATGCATTTTCCCAAGCGTAATTTTTTGACAACGGTCTCCGGAAAGCTCCTCAATTATTGTTGGATGGATGCAGAATATATGTATAAAAATTAAGATTTTCTGATTCAGTTATACTAATTGACAAGAAGGAAAAGAGCTTAAGAGCCTAAAGTACAAAACTCAGTAAAGTCTTAAATCATTATAATTAGGAATGAAACCATTTGTGAATAGGTACCGACAATCCTTGAAGAAAAATAGGAGGGGTGTATACATTGAATATTTTATTAATTTTTTAATCATGGAGACAAAATAATACTCGTTGTCTGAGATTCAATACAAGATTAGGGAAATTTTTGAAGGTTTTTTAAAAAATATGATCATGATGCAATATTGCCTCAGATGCTTTGTGTTCCACATAAAAACCTTGTTGGGAGAGGCACAGGTTGAAAAATGAAGATTAAATAATACAGGCATCGAAAAATGGATAGAGATTTATGAAAGTGCTTGCCATCTATATTTATTCACCATTTTTTAGTGGAATTAAAGTCTTCGGTGGGGATATTGGTGGAAAACATTTGGACGGTGAATTAAAGTGAAGAAAAAAAGTATCAGTGAACTTATATCAACTGATAAAGCAATAAATAACAATATAAAAAATAAAAATTATAACAATGAACAGTGAAAGGAGTTTGGGTCATGATTTTACACAACTCAATTGTGAAAACTGGGTCAATCTTAAGCACTAAGCTTTTTCACTGGAGGGGTATTTTTGTGGAAACAAACTTGACTCATGTGAAAACAAAGAACTTTCTGCACCCCTGCTAAAAAAATCAGTCAGATAATCTGACACTGTGCTGCTGAATAGCGATTCTTATTTACATTGTTAATGAAAGATGGCACGGTCTCCTGTTCTTTGCCATTCCTTTCTGACTGTTCGTACGATCATTTAAGAAAAATATTTCGACTTCAATCGGTCTAAAGTAATTAGGCTTCCTTGACTGTGTTAAGGACCCCTTTTTTCAAGCAGGGTCTAGTGTGTAATTGAATTGGAAGATGCAAAAACGTCCTAAGTTCAATTCAGTGTTTCAGAATTTGCATGATTCATAGAAAAAAGTTGATTCAAGAAGTTAGGAGTGTGGAACAATTTTATCAAAAATCCTGCAAATATAATTACTCATTTACTAAGCAGATCGACTTTGTCGTAAGCGACTTTGTCGCTCAGTCGTAAAGTGAGACATACCAATACAATTCTGAAATATTGTGTTGAATATCGGATATTTTCACACAATCCAATTCAATTCTTATGTGAGATTAAGTGATGCCTGATAATAATGCCTCATATTGCACATGTAGATTGACATCGATGATGAAAGTAAACATGATATAAAAAAATAATGCTATAGAAATATAATACATAATAGAAATTTGAAGAAAGGGCCAATATTGGCATCACTTACGAAAGATATCTAATCAATATGTACTTGAAAATAATCATTACTTAATGATCACATAGATGAAAAACTGATAAGCCCATTAAAAACTGAACTTGCCTCGAATTTTGAAAAATCCTAGAGAGCACTTGTTATGTATTAGAGATGTTAATCCAATGTAATTCTCCAGAAGGATTGGTTTGTGTTGAATGTTGCATGGAGTTAGCGCTGTGACAAGCTCAAGGGCCTTGACAAACTCAGCGTAGAAGTTATCGACACAGTATAATTTTTTTTCTTCTGTGGTGGTTTCTGCAACAAAAAAAAACTAAAATTAGCTGGAATTGCAATTTAAGTGAAGAAGGATTTTTGCAATTGAATGATCAGTTGAAACAAGATTACGAAAGCAACCCAGCAAAACTGTTATATTGGACCAGTCATAATTTCTGTAAGTGCTGGTTCAAAATGAATTCAGTCCAATCCATAAGTTCATCAGGTCTTGCTATCATTTATCTATCACCTTAAAGGATGCAGCAATGGACCACTGGGTAAGTGCGAATTTAAGTATTATGATATTAGTTTCTTACTTGAAAATTCAAGTAGAACACAAAGTGTACAAAGAAAATCACTCCTGAAAGTAACTCCTAACGAAGGCATTAATGGTTTTCAATTCAAATCAAACTTCCTGTTCATGAAAAAACCATATTCTACTTGAGTTAAATGGTGAGCACAAACAGTCTTTGCAGTATGAAAATTGGACGAACTGCGCTTCGGCTCAGCTATTGCAAGTAGTTTACACTTTGAGAAACACAGGGTGGGGAGAGAACACAACTGATTGAGAAGCCTGCCAAAACAGTCGTGGGGCCCGATTTGATTCAGGTGGATTCTAGTTTTTCTTGTGAGGAGGAGACGTTTAATGTGCTAAATAAAAACGTTAATATCTTAGTTAGAAGTTACTTTCAGTAATTTTCGTTGAGCCAATCGTTTTCCAAATGAAATTTTAGAGAAGAAACATTTATCAGAATTCTTAAATTTGTACCTTCATCTGTATCTGCATACAGTGGCATTAAGCTTATGAATGGTAGCACATGTTACGTAATGTATCAAGATCACTTTAACTGTAAGCTATCCATGAATAACAGAGGAAGTAAATAGACTTTTGAATGGTTGCTACCACTTCAAGAATATTGCCCTTCCAGATAAGCTACTTCTGACTCTCCTGAACGCTCTTTTATTTGTATCCGATACATGTTGCTGGTTCAAACCTGCAGTTTTTTGCAGATAAATTTTTTATGAAACTTTTCACTTCCATGAAGTGCATTCGCTTTGAGGAGGCATGAGTGCAGAAGGTCCCAAGGGCTCCTCCCCTTTCCCACAAGATCAATCAACTTTCCCTCTTGTTTTACCAAAATGGGCCAGTTGCAAACTTTTGCTAAAGCAAAAATAAGGGTTTGTTCCTTAATGATAATGTCTCAAAAATTACGATGAGCGCATCAGCAACCTCTGAAATGCACTCCTAACTTCACAATCTGCGTAAGAAATTTGCGTTTTTTTAAGCTTTCAAAAAGGATACTACAGCATAGGTGAGCATTTTGTTAAAGGAGTTATTCCATTCAATCCCTGCTTGACATGGCCGACGCTTTGGCGTGCAAATTGAGGAGAGCACAAGGTCAATCAAGGCGGAAATCTATCAACGCGAGAAAAATGTGACTGTAAACACGCCGATTGTTATTAGGTGGTTAGAATCATCTTCTCGTTACATGTATTTTGGGCAGATTGGCGTCGGCTAGGTTGAATATTGTGTAGTATCCTTGTGAGCAGGGGTTGGATGGAATGACCAAATGACTCTTCTAACGAAATATGCACCTGTGTCATAGTATCGGTTTTGAGGCAGAAAGCTAGAAAAAACGTAAATTTCTTATGCAAATTGTGAAGTAAGGAGTGCATTTCAGACTTGGCCGATGCGCTCACTGTGATTCTTGAGACATTTTCTACAAGTAACAACTCTTATTTTAGATCTAGCAAAAGTTTGCAACAGGCCCATTTACGATTGCTTCCCCCTGAAAAATTAATTTTTTTTTTTTTTTTTAATTTTACCATTTTGGTAAAAAAAACCAGTTAACCCAAAAAATTGAACTTCTTACTTCACTACTAAAGCGCACAGGGTGCACTCCTCCATTTTGTCCCATTTCGTTAGGGTTCCCTTACTCTTGGCAACTTGTGGCAGTCTTCATATCATGACTCATCACAAGAATTTTGATGTTTTTTTATCCTCCAATCATAAGAGCAAACTCGAGGTCCAAGTAATGTAGGCGCAGTTTTCAACTGTGTTTAATCAAGAGTAAATTTAAAAATACAAAATAAAAATAAAAAATAAATTACCTTTGCACCTCAGCAATGGATGAGAAGTGACGGTGAACCAGGGAACATCACTTGAAAACGCATTCCATTTCGTAAGAAAATCAAGTGGTTGGCCATTATTCCACATAGCACGAACACCTGTCGAATTTCTTGGCCTGGAAAAATATACCACATAAATGTTTCAATTCTCAGGAAACAATAATTTCAAGGATTCAGAAAATAAAAAGTGTAGACTAAAATGACATGAGGTGCATAATGAACGCACAATTTTTTTCAAATCTCAGATCTTTTTGGTATTTGACAGTTAGTTATTTATTACCTACCGTTATTTGGCCCACAAGAGTCTGTGTTGAAAGTCATGCATAAAGAGAAGGGAGGCGACTCACAAGGGGAGGCTACCGATTGTCCACCTCAGATCGGGTTCAAATTTGGCAGAGAGGTAGAATAGGTTAATATAAGAAACCGTATTTTTTTTTAGGTGCCAATGCCCAGCCGTTTTTGAGTTATGAATTTTTGAAGTTGCCGTTTTTTCGTGTCAGCGACGCGCTCAAGTTGAGCCTACTGTGCGCGCATCTTTTAATGCGATCCGAGTGTCCTCACTTTCAAGTGAGACAGTTACCCAAACGGTAGCGCGCTCGCCTACGGTGCAGAAGGTTCGGGGTTCGATACTACTTTCGTAAATTACAATTTTGCAATTGATTATTTTGTTTTTTAATCGCTTTATCACAACAAATTGTAAGTCACCTTGTAGACGTTATAGTAGTAGCAAAATAATTTTATTTTAAAGCGGTGCTTTAGCATCTGATTCTAATTAAATTTTATGTATTTTTTATTTTTTTAATGAATGTGTAACAAAAAAGGAAAAAAATATAATCAGCACCACAACGTCTACAAGGTGACTTACAATTTGCTGTGATGAAGCGATTAAAAAACAAAATAATCAATTGCAAAAATGTAATTCACGGAAGTTGTATCGAACCCTGAACCTGCAGCACCGTAGGCGAGCGCGCTACCGCTTGGGCAACCGTCTCTCTTGAACGTCGGGACAATCGGATCGCATTAAAAGATGCGCGCACAGTAGGCTCAACTTGAGCGCGTCGCTGACACGAAAAAACGGCAACTTCAAAAATTCATAACTCAAAAACGGCTGGGCATTGGCACCTAAAAAAAAATACGGTTTCTTATATCAACCTATTCTACCTCTCTGCCAAATTTGAACCCGATCTGAGGTGGACAATCGGTAGCCTCCCCTTGTCAGCATTGAAAATTTTATAAACTTTAACGTGAATGCTAATATGTGAATATAAATATTTTTGTAATGGGTGACTGAAAATTAAACTATCTTTACAGAGGGCGCGTATTTTTTCATTGAATAGAGAATTTAAAGTCTGTAGATTATGTTGTACCATTGAATCAGTTTCTCAGTGTTTCTGCTGTTCTTTTAATTTTAACAAAGATACTGTAGGTGAAATTTTTCTTAATTCCCAATAAGGGGCTATCCCATGAGAAACGCAGGTAAAACTGGAGGAACTTCTGATTAGAAACTTTATGGCAGATTTAATCTACTTGACAAATTTTTACATGGGAGAACAAAATTTACCAGATATACAAGCAGAGCTCATTCAAAATTTTCTTGAGAAAAAACAAGATTTCAATGCTTTTTTAATACAAAACATTTTAATGATATTTGATTGAGAAGTCAAAAAATATCTAAAAATTGTTTCGCACGTAAATGAATTCAAAGGAATCTTCTTCAATCTACACAGTACTCAAAAGTAGAGTATTTTTCATTGGCATATAATATTTAGAGTATTGTGAGAAGACTAAAATCAATTTCAACACATAATTCAACTCTTAGAGGACCCTGTCAGTAAAACTAAATACACTCAAGTTGAGAAAAATACATGGCCTATTTGCTTGTAAATATCACTAACAGACTACAAGAAAGTATTGTTATCTGATTCTCTCTGATATTGTGCTCTCATTTAGTAGTGACTATTCCTCTCAAACCTACATTCTTCCATAGAATCAAAAACATGCCACTCTAGCCACTTTTTAACGCTGCGCCAGCTTACTGTGAGGAATTTTATCTTGAGTCTTCTACAACAATCAACACTAGATCAACCTACTGAAAAAAGTAAAGAAAAACTATAACATGCAAAATGACACATAGTATCAAAAGTAAAACTAAAAATAGTGTATTTCCTTCAGAAAATGCACCAAGACACACAATAAATATTTTGGAGAAAAAATATGACAATATAACCATAATGCACAACATAAGAAAACAAATCAATAAAGCCTACTATTTGGAAAAATGACAGAAGAGAAAAATATGATAATCTAACTACAATTTATGGGACTTCACATTATACTGGAGTGACGAACAAAAACAGAGCAAACCTAGCGTCAAACAACACTGACAGAATAAAAAAAAAACTCCACAAAGCAGCAAAATAACTATATTTACTACCTTGCTTCAAATTCTTTAAGATCCAAAACACGAGAAGATTCCTCTTTCTGGTAGGGTTTGAAAACACAACTTTTTACAAAATGAGAAAATCCATTTGTGAACCCATTCACACGACTGAGCAAATAAAAAGAAAGAAAGAAGACACTTTATTAAAAATCCATTTTGAGATTCTCACAAGAGGAGATTAGTTCATGCAACATGAAAAACTCAGATACTGAAACAATTTTTGATTGAGAGTGTGTGTGAATGAATGTTTATTTTCCAATGGGATGGTGATATACCTTTTGATTTTGAAGACTCTCGATAGAAAGCAGTGCCAAGAAATCCAAAACTCTAACCCTGACATAATTTTTAGCAGCTTTAACTCAAGGAAAAATCAGAGATGCTATCCAAAGTAACAAGGAAGAAAAGGCTGATAAGAAAACCCAATTACGTACATATTAAAGTTTCTTCAGGGATGAAGATTTGCCTTAGAAAATTAGCAGATGAAAAATTTTATACTGCAGAAAGATATTCTTGACGTTTTCAACTTTCTCAATTGAAACCTCTGAGATCGGTGTTTACTTCAAGTTATCTTTAAGTGATACAAGTAGAGCTAATTTATACACTTTCTGTTAAACCTAACAAAATTAACCTACATAAAGTCAAACACCTGTGAGAATCCTTGTCTAAAACAATAATTTGAAATCAACAAAAATTTTGAATCATAATTCATAATGACAAGTTTTTAAGAAAAATTTTTGAAGAGGAAATATAGTAATAGGTAGTGTATGGACACGTCGAATTGATCAGGTCATGTACCTCTTGGGGCCCAAAAAAGCAGCCAACCTATGAACTCAAATTATCCATCGGTACTACTTTTCACAATTCTGCATAGGATTTGCACAATTCTGCAATTCTGAATTTCTGTAAATTATGAAAGCATGTGGGTATAAAACTTTGATTTTGCATAAATTTTCTCAGTTTCAAAGTGTTAATCCTTAAAGACACCTGTTTACAATGCACTGTCAGCCATACTGATTAATCTTTCAAATGCATAGGTTAGTAGGGGCATTTTTCTAGTGATTTTCGTTTTAGACGTTGTCGCCCTATGGGGCCCGACAAGGTACATAAAACAACGTGTCCATACTCTCCCCATGAGGGTACTCTGGTCATAACATCAAAATGACAGGTAGATGGACAGGAACTTTAAAATCAAACACTAAAGACCAAAGAAAAACAAGTTAATGTTGAGTTTGAGGTAGAGGTGAATTCAATACCCTGTCCAGTGGTCAGTTAGTTGGCATGATCAGAATGTCTATAATCAAATATCTACTGTACTTCCTCTTCTTATTGGTTACTTGCACAAGTTGAAGAAGCAATTTAAGAGGCAGATAGCTACATTGAGAGTTTGACCGAAAAGTAAAATATTCGAAATTCGAAAGAGAGGATTGTCACTACGGAGGATTCTCACAATAAGAGGGTATAGGTACTTACGGAACAATGGAGCCACTAGGATACACTAAATCTCCATTTATGACAGTATCAATAATATTCAAAGGCACTCTTTTGGAATCTAACATTTTCAGAGCGATAAAATCATATTTTACTATGATGAGCTCATCCGTAGTGAGAAGAACCAGTCTTTCTTTTTCATTGTCCCATAGGCTGATTCTGTTAAATGCAAAAATAAAAAGCACAACGTTAAATATGAAACATGTTGCAGGATATTTTAGGAGCCTTCCCCAACAAAAGAATGATATTGAAAATTTTTCAAGTTGATAAAGACAAAATAAATAATCAAGACTCCATTATGCTGTTTATCTTTTATAAATTGGTTGCTTGTGGAGGTTTGAAATTTTTTGAAAATTCCTCTACAGGTATAAACAACTTTTTGTTAAAGCTTAAATTAGCAAGTCTGTCCAGCGTTGGTTTGGACTGAATATCCTCCTATATCTACTGTCTATTTAAAAATATTTCTAAACAATCTAATTTGATGACCACCACAGAGCCTTTTGTCTACCAAAGGGCCCAAGCACCAAAAACTCACAAGCTGTGAAAATTATGATAAGCAATCTATTATGTGTCATAATATTCTTTAGAAACCATAACTCCAGTGGTTTTGGCGCTTGGGCCCTATTATAAATGACTAATTGAGGGGCTTTGTGGACAAGATGGATAAGTGCCGTTTTTTAAAAAATTGAGGTATTCATGAACTCAACTGCAACTAGTTTCAAGTATATTCTGTGAAAAATTCACAACTAAAATCCAGCTTTAAAGCATCAAAAAGTGACTTCAATCTTCCTTTCTGCCATAAGGTTCCATGTAATTTGGAAACTTTAAACACAAATTTTTTTAAATAGCAAATGCTACACTTATGCGCCTTGTCCTCCAAGCCCCTCAATTTAATTTTGTATGATATAAAATAACAAAAATTGACCTATATTCAATGAAAATTGGGCAGGGAGGACTTTGATACCTTTATATTCTGCTTAAATTCTGGAATAGGGCACTTGCAATTTTCGTGAAAGCGACTCTTCGGGGGTCAAGACTGAAATATATTTGGTGCAAGTAGAATGCCAGTTACTTTTTTTTTTTTTTACCAATTTCAAGTAGCCTATCGGCTGATTCCACGCTTATTACCCCAGCCCCAGGTGACCATTGCCTGAGACCATCAAACTCAGATCACCTGGCCGGGAATCGAACCCGGGACCTCTTGGTCATAGGGCCAGCGCTACAACCACTACACCACAGTTATCACAGCCGTCATGATCCACCCCACCTTCAGGGAAAGAATTGAGGTGGGACCTAAAGGCATTTCATTAAGTCAGTTATGAGTCACCAATGCCCATTTTACGATCACTGTTAATGTTCATAAATGTGTATTGCTTATAGGCCAGAGTGGTCAATATATCGGTTCAGATCAATTATGTAGAATCTGAAATTTGTTCAATACTTGATTCCTTTGTGGATGACTGAGTAAAATGTAAAACACTCACTCTGTAAGAAGCCAAGCCCCTAGGAGTTTCCCAATTTTGTCATTTACGAGTTCTTTGGAGCACTCGTCTATTGCCCTTTTGACAAATCCTTCTCGAGACGCAAAAAATGTGCTTGCATCGTCACCAGACCAGGGCATGACAGCATCTTTTGGACGGGCTAAAAGAGAATGAAGATAATGGTTAATTTTTAATAATAGATAAAAATTAAGTAAATTAAAATAAAAACTTAATTGATTTCAACTCTACCGTCTACTGCGAAGAGGATCTTGTTGTTACAGATACTTGGACACTAAACTCCAACAGAGGTTTGGGTTAATTGGGGTTATCGGTACAAGTGCAAGCAGAAGGTATTGACTCCGAAGTATCCACACTAGGGCTGAAAACCAAACTAACCCAAAAGCCAGGGACCGAAATGAGCTGATATTTAACGGCAAGCCAAATTTTGAACTATAAACCTGTTCCGGCAAATAGGATGAGCCAAATCTGATTCCAGAATAATGAAGACTGAATGCGAGTGACTTTTCAGTTCAACAGTTTAATGTAAGCTAAGAATTGAGTTGCTGGACTTCTACCTTGGAGTCATGAACGCCTACCTACTTACCTACCTACTATCCTGAGGTTTATAAAACAAGGCACTGAGCTACCGAAAAATTTGAACCTAAGTGTATGGCTCCTCTGCTGATGGACATTTGATGTAATCCTGTTGCTTACCAGCCTTGTCAAACCATATGAATGATCGGACGTTTCCTGTGACTCGTATTACACATAGCGAGTAAGCTTTGGAGAGTTGAAGTGATCATGCGGCCAACAGATTCTTACCATTAGAGGACGAGGAAGAGGGAGATTTAGCTCCTGCTTTGGCTTCATCAGCCAATGCGATGTCCAAGGAAAATAAGCTCGAGTTGTCACTTTGATTAGCAGTAGAATTCTTATCAGCAGACAGGGCATTCTTCTGCTTGCGAACGTCACTGATGCGAAGAGTGGCATTGTTGAAATAATCCTGTGGCTCGTCATCTAATGATGTGTCGTACATGGCCATGGTTGATTAAACAGAAATCTTCTTGGAAAAATGGAACAAAATGCAGAACTGATCAAAAACTAATCACAATCAAAATAATAACTTTGTTATTATTGTTGTTGTTGCGACTTAACTTTATCAAACGCTACTTACGCTATCTATCGACGAAATTTGTTACTTAAGTGACTTTCGGTCAAATTTCAGCAGCCAATCAAAACTAGTATTCCAGTGTTGTCATTTGATTCCAACTTTTTCATTGGACGTCAATTTCACGTCATTGTAATGGCTGCCTAACGAACGGTCACTACCAGGGACCAGTTCTATAGGACCCTGGACTCCCGTAAGAGTCAATGTAAAAATTCGTGAGCAGGTACTAGTGCTGCTATCGCGCGTAGGATCCTCGCAACTCACTGCTGTTATCAGTTGTTGGACTTCATTAAAATCCGTAGGATCGCGTATAACTGCGAAAAATCGAATTTTTCATCCTATTAGTACATGCGGCGGGCCATTCATTGTCGAAAGGGGTCGAAAAACGCCAAAAATATACTTATTTTTTAAGAATTCAGCCGCCTTATGTGTTATTTTTCAATCTCCGGCTTAACCTCACTTTTGGAGCGGGCGATGGATGAGTCGAGGTTCGGGGGGAAGGATCCTCTGAGTTGACTAGGATCCTACGCGAGAATGCGCTGCAATCACCCGCTCACAACAGAACGGCGTCCTATAGAACTCGTCCCTGTCACTACCCTTTGTTCTTCCTCGTCCTCCACGCATAGAATTCAATGTTTATACTGAAGCGGCTGAAGTATCATGACGTCTTGAAATTTTCTTTTAGTTCCAGATAAATAATGTATTATTTAATAGGTTTTATAGCATTAGTGATCAAAGATGTGTTGTGCTTCAATTTGGAAACTCGGATTCCTGTGATCAAGAATGGACGGAAAGAATCATATTTTGGATATTCAGTGGCAGCACATCAGTCAGTCAATGAAGCCATTAATAAAATTCAGGATAGCTGGTAAGTGTCCAGGGTTTGAACATTTATTGTATTGTAGTTTTACTTTCATAAATACATCATGAATAATTGTCCTCTGATTTAAGAGTGCATCGTGGAGGCATGCTCAATTCACTGAATGTGGTCAATAGTCAGTTTCAAGTGGTCATTACCTTCTCCTGTTTGTTAGAACTTCAACCAACATCAACTAAGTGAAATGAACCACACTCACACTTAGCCAGCTTTCATTTTCATATTTATTTTACCACGGTGCATGAATTAAAAATGTAAACATTGTAGGACTAAGACATCGTGCGATATTGCTTGGACAACTCGTCCAACGTGCTTCCGCTGAGAGTACCTCCCCTGTTTTCATAGAAGGGGGGTGAAAATTCTTGTTACAAGTGAAAACATATGTAGCAGAAGCTATTTTTCCGATTTGATCTAATCTGATTTATTTTGAAAAATTTTAATCAGTGCCTTGTGCTTACTACTTATTTTGCGAGAAACCTTGTGTATTGGAGAAAATTGTGAAGGTCTAGAACAATTTGCACCCTTGTAATGCAGTTCTTTGCAGTGGTTATCCATGACCTTTTAAAGTGAAGTAATTCCCAGCTTCATAAGGAGACCAATATGAAAGACAAGTAAATGGATTTAAAAATTAAAGTAAATCAAGAACTTCATTGGTTTCTACTTTTTATTTGAATTTTTACTTCACTCTCAGTAAGCCTTTCTTAGAACTTTCTACAGTCTTACCGTCTACTGCTCTTCAGAACTGGGAAAATGTCTTATCACCCTGAAGTGCATCACTTAGATTAACTGTTGCCCCATTGATAAGCTTATAAGCTGTTGAATGGTGCTGTTTTCTGAGGTGTCTTCAGTCCAATCTATTTTTTTCTCAGTTCTAGTGAAACAGAGTTTTGGCTTTGCAGCGCTTGAGTTATGGGGGTTCAAAATTAGCAGGAAGTTCACCCCTCCCTAATTTCACAAGCTCCAATACATTCTGCAATTGTTTCCTCTATTCTACGCCAGGTATAAAATCTACCTTGAGCCTTGAGGCCTTGTCCACACAAGACCAGTTCGAGGAACTTTGGGTGAACTTGTTTCAGGAACTTTTTATAACTTACTTATAATTTGCTCCTGAAACTCCCCCAGTTCGTAGGACTAATTCGTCCAAACCATGTCGTGTGGATAAGGCCTTAGGTTTGGCGATGGTTTATAAACTTCCTAAACAAATTATTTATCAAGGGGAATGTGGCAACATCCAAATGCTCATACGGGGTTCTTCCTTAGCATGGCAGAAATGCAGTCTGCCTCTCCTACCACTGTGGTGTAAGCGTAGCCAGAAAAAAATTCTCTGGGGAGCCAAAAGCTTTTTTATCCTCTAAAAGGGGTCGGGGGTCTACTCTGCCGTGCTAAAGAAGAACGCCGTATGAAAATTCAAGAGTTGCCAAATTTCCCCTGAGGAAATGTTTATTTTTAAGGAAAGTTTTGAATATTTCTCCCTGAAACAGAATATTCAGGCCATATTCTGAACAAAATTATCCGAAAAATTGGCAGACAAATATTCACAAACTTTCTTGAAATTGGTGATTTGTCACGGGAAGTTTGGCAACGCCTGAAGACTCGTACGGCGTTTTTCCTTAGTGTATGTATTGGTATTCAACTTTTAACCGGCTATTTACGATCGCGACTTTAGTGGGTGGATAGGAGGGGGAGGAGCACTAGCATTCCCTCCCTACCTAGACCCATGCTGCATCTTTTATCCACTCGAGAACCTGGCAGCTTCATTTCATTCCGAATCACTTCCGCATCCTGTCAAACCAATCGTGGAATCGCAAAATTCACATCATCGATAAGTTTCGGATTGTTTGTAGGCGGGCGCCCGGAGACCCAGTCATTTCACGGCGACGCGTTGCCAGATCTCGTCGAACGAGCTTTTTCACACCTTTCCGTTCCCGCGAAAAGCAACGATTTATCGCCACCGTTTACAACCCGGCGAGAAGGGCGCGAGCCAAATCAATCGCGCTTATTTTCGTTGCCATTAAATCGGTAATGGGATTTATTACTTTCTTTCGCCATTGCTCCGCACTTGAAGGCCCCGCACCCCTCCCTCCCTTCTGGACTTTTTGTTTCTGCGTGTCTGTTATCGGGGTCTTTAAAATTGAGTCGCCGCGCCTTCCATCGGGAGTCCCTGATAAGCGAGGCAGTTCCTGGAGTGGTTAATGGATGAGTCGAATGCCTGGTTCCCTCTCGGGAATCGATCCCTGGCCGATTGCCCGGTTTTCGAGATTACAACTTTCAGCTCGACATTCCTTTCGCGCCGGAAAGAAATGGGATTGCGCGGCGAACTCAGCGTCGCAAAATTCCGCGCTGCTTTTTGGGGGAAGGCGGCTTGGTGCAGGGTGTCTACAAGTCCGGAAATAGTACGGATTTTTTAAGGGCGGTCCGGAAGTACTGAAAGATTGCGGAAATTCTGCAAGAAAGTCCGTAATTTTTGTACATTTTTGTCGCGATTTGAGCGAGAAATTATAATTTTTGAAATTTTTCGAATTTCGTCAGTTGGAGGTGCTGAAAAAGTACTGAATTTTTCTGGGTAGGAGATACTGAATTTCTCAGGAATTTACTGAAAAAGAACTGTCAAAGTACTCATTTTTAGCCAGCCGGTCTTAGTAGACACTCTGTCAGTTGATGTCTAGGACATGGAAAACCCGAACTTCATCAGGGAATGTAAGAAGTATTTCCGGGAATCGGGAAATTCACCGGAGAATCGATGTCTGTTTCTTCTCCTGGACAATTTGTTGCGTGGCTTTGATCGTCATTGTTGAATCGGGACGTTAAAGAGTGACTCTCCAGACGAAAGGAAAAAATCATCCATCTGACGCCAAGGGTACCAAAAATGTAAAAAATGGACTCTACGAGCAAATTTCAAGTTTAGAGGATCATGATGCCTAATCCGGATGGTCCAACTTTTCATCCGACGAAAGAGGACGAAAAGCCGAATGAAAAATCGGAGTAAAATGCGTTAGCATTTCGATGAAATCTGAGCCTTTTTTATCATCTTAGATAACGGCACGCTGTTTCAACTCAAAATAACGCGAAAAGCAACGGAAGAATGTATGAAGTTGGGTTCGAATCTAACATGCAGCTATTTTAACTCCGCGGCGGGCCGGGTTGCATAAGCTAGATTTTGTGGGCGAAATCTGAAATCCACCCACGACCCATGCGCTCTCGCGATATGCGGCTTTTGCGATAGAGCATAGAGCACAGATGCGATCCGTATTTTCCCCAAGCGTATGCAACCCGTTCCACCGCGGAGGTAAAATACCTGCATTTATTCGTGTCCAAACCCAACTTCGTATACTCTTCCATTGTTTCACGCTCAGCGCGCTCCGTATCCAAATGCTGAGTTCATCATTCGGAAAGCATCTCGGTTTGTTTATATCACGTTACAAATCTGTGCGATAGAAACGTCCATATAGTCGACCGAAATAGACGTCACGTTAGAAAACAACACTAATTGCACCCATATCCTATCGCGAAAGTCGCGGGCGGGTCTCTGATTTCCCCCGCAAAATCGAGCGTACGCAACCCGGCTGACCGCGGAGTTAAATTAGTTGCATGTTGGGTCCGAATTTAACTTTCTCGATAATTCTCACGAAGCTCTGGCAGTGACCAATCTCAAGGGGTTGGGCCGCGAAGCGGCCAGGAGGCTAAGCCCTCTAGTCTTCTGTAAGAGTAATGCGCTTAACAGTCTTCATCTGACAACGCGTTTAATAGTTCCATCCAGATAAAGTAGCACTGCCATCACATGTTCCCCCTTCTTTTCAGGTATACCTTCACTTTTCAAAAACCCTTTTTCGGCGGCCCTTTTTTTTATAGTGACCAACCGGGACTGGATCGGTCGTTCGGTCGCGGAAATTTTGCACCCCTGGCTAAGTTTTTAAGGAATAATATACGCAATTTCATCCACTAGGTCTTAACATTTCACGGACATACATTCGCAACCTTTCTCAAAAGTAAAGGTTTTATCAGAAAAAGGCAACATTGGAATGTTCATGCGGCGTTTTTCTTAAGGCTTGGACTGGGAGGGTTGCCACAGTCAGGGAATACTGGGAGAACCGGAAAATGTCAGGGAATGTTAAAAAGTCAGAGAAAGCCGGGCTATGTCAGTGAAAATGACGAAAATGTCAGGGGAAATCTCTCCAATCACCTCTATTTACTTTCTAGAATGGGTCTGAGGTTTCGAACAACAAATTTTGCCTGAAAACTATTTTCAATTATGTCTTCATAACCACTTCTCATATCTTCAATGGAGATGTTGCATGTGTGAGGGATTTGCGATTTGACCATTGATTCTTATGTAAAAGTTCGTTAGAAACACGATTGTGCCACTGGTTTTCTCTGAAATCATCTCCCAAGCTCAAAAAAAGCTCTCAAAGTGAGGCCAGAATGGAGGGGATATCCCACCCTTGCAAATACATTAATGCAAATACATTAGCAGGGTTGCTGTGTTTTCAGTTTTGGAGTCCCCAAATAAAGTGGCAACCAATAACAAAGTTAATGTATAACAACAATAAAGTTAATGTATTTGCTCCCTATCTTTGCATGGAGAGTTTGTCTTGATGTGGACGTGGACTCTCAGGGTAGGGTGGAATATCCCCTCCATTTTGGCCTCAACTTGAGAGCTTTTTTTTGAGCTTGGGAGATGATTTCAGAGAAAACCAGTGGCACCATCGCGTTTCTCGCGAACTTTTACTGAAGAATCAATGGTCAAATCGCAAATCCCTCACACATGCAACATCTCCATTGTCAGGGAACTCCGCCAAATTGTGTCAGGGAAATGAGGGAAATGTCAGGGAATTTCATTTTCTAAATTCTGTGGCAACCCTGGACTGGGCGCGGAGCGGTTGACCCCCAGCCGGAGGGGTCCACGAGCTGGAGACGGAAAAAGCCCCCCGGGTGTTCGTGAAGGCTCGTGGAGCGAACTCAAGCTCGCCGGTCTCGTTGTGAGTACAGTCTAC